TATACCTAACTCTTCCAGTTTAATAGGTTATTAGTTGATGTAGGTTTCCAAAAACAGTGTGGTCGTCAGGTGTCCCTCACCTGTAATCATAATTGATATGTCTAGGAAAGTAATCTTTTTTCTGCCTATTTCAAAAGTCAACTAAAGGTTTATATCGTTATCATTCAATGTCTCGACGAATTCCTTGAAGAGTTTGGTGGTATTGATCCATACTATTATTATATCATCAATATAACGCTTCCAGACACTGATGTACTTGGGATATCTATCTAGATGAGACCCAAACACAATTATTTTTTTTCCCACCACCCCAGGTGGAAGTTGGTATATGAGGGGGCGCAAGCCGTCCCCATAGACCTCCCCCTCACCTGGTGGTAGTATTTACTCTGAAAAATTAAATAATTATGCGTAAGGATAAAACGCATAAGGTCCTGTACAAATTGGTTGTGCCTTTTTGGAGTTGTTGAGCTAGTATCAAGAAAAAACTTTTAGATGTGCTAAGCCTACTTCATGTGGAATGGAACTGTATAAGCTCTCTACATCCAAACTGCATAGGATGGCGTTATCAGGGAGATGTACTCCATCTAGGATTTTCAGGGTGTGTTTGGTGTCCCTTAAATATGAAGGTAGATCAGTGACTGTTTTTCTGATGATCTGGTCCACATAGGTACTCACATTTTGAGTTTGGTTAGAATTGCCTGAAACAATTGGTCTACCACTTAATATCGGTAGTTGTTTGTGCACCTTAGGTAATGAAAAGAACGTAGCAGTTACCAGATTTTTTTCTGTACATGAACAGATGTTCATCTTTAGAAATAAGTGACAATGAAAAGGCTTCATCTATATTATCTTTCAATTCTATTGGGTATGCGCGTCTACACAGCACCGAAACGCGCGTCGGGCGTTTTGCTTTTCTTTTGATTTTATGAGCACTTAGCACGGCACATTAAGTTTGCCACACATGGGTTCTTTTGATTAATTTGTAACTATGTCTCATTCTTTTTGCTCCTTTTCGGTCTAAGCTAGTTTTACAGGGAGAGTGGCTTTGTAATTTATCTCTACTGCTAGATTTTCTAGCAGTATATTTCTACTTATTCCTACTTATCTATCCTCAACCCTGTTAATCTCTTGACAGATTGGACCCTCTGATACCTTGTTAGTAGGCACATCATTAGGTAATCTTTATTAGAACATTTCTCAAGGAGGAATATTTTTTCAAACGAAAGCAGCCTCTTTGATTTACCTTTACTTGTGGTTATTTGGCTACATAAGAATCATTATTAATTTAAATTATATTGCCATTCTTTTTTGCCAACTCACTATCTATATGCTTTCTTACTAACCAGACTCCACCTGACAGAGTGCCTCTTTATATACTCTTTGATACACTGATACCTAGATAGGTTTAGATATCATTAAGGAGGATCCAATTATTACATTCTTTTTGAGTATATTATAAAAGACTATATAATAGGCAGTGTCTTGATGTCTATAGATCCAGACACAATAAAGCTTGCACCATAGACATTCTACACTATAATTCTATATATTTCACTATTTATATACTTTTATGTACATTCGAGCAATATTGAATTTATTGAATTTTCTATTTCTACTATCTTTCAACTCAAACTACTACGCTATTTCTATTACGATCAAATAGAGATAGATTTGACATTTCATTCACTCTAAACAGAGGTTGTTGTGTATTTGTATTTAGTATCTTACTATCACTGGGCTACTCTAATTTTCCAGGAAACACAGCGGGTCACATTTGTTTTTGACATTGTGACAAGCATATTGTGTGTTCATTTGTTTTTGCTATGTTAAAAGGGACACTATAGCCACCAACACAACTTTATCTTAATGAAGCAGTTTTGGTGAATAGATTATGCCCCTGCAGTCCCAATGCTCAGCTTTCTGCCATTTAGGAATTAAATCACTTTGTTTATGCAGCCCTAGGCACACTTCCCTGCATGTGACTTGCAAAGCCTTGTTAAACACTTTCTGTAAAGTGAAAGCTAATGTTTATACTTCCTTTATTGCACATTTTGTTTAAGTTAGAGTTTCGTATCTCCTCCTCTGTTAATAGCTTGAAAGACCGTGCAGGAGCCTCCTGTGTGTGATTACAGTTACATTTACAGAGAAGGAGATAAAAAAAACTTTTATAGTAAGGTAACATCTGATGTAAAAGGAAACCATTTTTTCATGTTGGCTGTGTGAGTTACAAGCAGGGGCGGGTTGGCTAGGGCTGCAAAAACAGAAACCAAAGTGATTTAACTCCTAAATTGCAGATAACTGAGCAGTGAGACTGCAGAGGCATGCTCTATATGTCCAAACTGCTTAATTAAGCTAAAGTTGTTTTAATGACTATAGTGTCCCTTTTATGAAAGCATGTACAATATTAACTGTCCTTCCCTAAGTGGTTAAAATTCCTAGTGAAAAACAAACAAACAAACAATAAAGACATCAGATCAGCAAAACCCAATATTCTTTCTCAGATACAAATTCCCAAACCAGATATCACCTATTCACTTAAAACCCAATTTTCAGAATATTTAACTTTAATGAAGCACATACTAGTGTATGTGGAGACAGCCTACAAATGTATAGCTCCCTTGAAAAAAAATGTAATTCCTTTTAAATCTTTGTAATCCCTGGCTTAGTGAATAACTCCATTAGTGTGAAGGTCAGTAAAGCTGTTTTTTGTTAATTATAAAGTGCAGGGCAAAAACATACAAGTTTTTCTTAACACACGAGTAAATGCATAAAGGAGGGAACTGTGAATTGATAAAAACACTCTGACTCAGAAGATATGATGTCAAATTTCAGCTCCATCATTTAAATACAGTATACCATTAACAAAACATAGCTCACGACAAACCATTACAGTATACCATTAACAAAACTTAGCATTAAAGAGCTAAAGAAGCAAGTGTTTCTTTAATGTCACTGATATCCTTCAATCACCACTAGACAATAAGCATTATAAGTTGCATTAATAATTACTATGATCTATTAAACATTAAAAAGGGTTGTATAAATAATTATAGCGATCTATGATCATGTTGCTTTATTAGTGATTTCTCATTAAACATGGTAAGGTTCATTTAAAACTCTACATTGATGCATAGGCCTACTTCACAGCTTTTGCAACATATGGGTCACACCAGACAATGGATAAAGATATACGCATTAAGAACACTGGATAATATTGGTTTAATGTAGTTTGAATTGTAGTTTGTATCAATCTGTGCCTAAACAAGCATGAATAGAAATAAGCAGGGGGATTGCAAATCTACTTATTTCTGCAATAAAGTATGTCGATCAAAAACATGTAAGCAGTATAATTGATCTCCTGAACACCAAGCTATAAAACCAAATATCTATTTTCCGTTTTTTGTATTGTAAACAAGCTTATACATATTATTTGTCTTGTATAAAGCATGGTATGTTTGTGTGCCTTCAATTGTTTATGCTTATGAGTAATTCCAACACATAGTTTAAAAAAGTAGGAAAGAAAATATTACAGTATAAATTCATATGACATATTCAACTCCTGCTTGTCTGAATATGTTAAACAAAGTATATAAAGCAGGTCTCCTCCTTGCAGAAAGTTTGTGTCTCTAACAAAGCTTACGGAGATCCTATATGTAGGTTGTTTTACTATAGTGGCATGTGTAATTGCATTATTGAACATACAATATTGGATTGTAAGAGCAGATAAAAATGATCTTAACTGATCTGACACACCTGTTTTAAAACCTCAAACATATTATATAGATTTGATAATAAGTAGGTATGTGCATGGGCAAAAAATTTGGTGTATATAGTCACAATGCATACCATATATCTACTCTATAAAAGTTATAATAAAAGTGACATTACTATCCAAGCCCTTCTCAAATTTATATATTAATGTGGTCACCTCCAAAGGGGCCTTCAAAGCCATTAAAATTGTAGGATCCTCCAATTTTGGGTTACTATAATTGATGATATATAGCATGAGAAAAAAAAGAAAAATCCCCACCCATCCACTATACCTTTGGAGGTGACTACAGGAAAGCATATATTATGCAAATTAGCATGTGAATCTTCCATGTTAAAATTAGTGTAAGACCCACCAATATTAGGGTACTGTGACATAGTGGTGGACTTAACACAATATGGCCATATAGTGGAATGGAATCCCCATATTTGTTTGCTGAGATAGGTGATTTTAAGTAGCCTTATAAACTTTAAAAATTTATTTTTACGTGTTCCTTAATCTGTATTATGTATATATTTTGGTCACTACGGCAACACCATTCCTGCAAAATGCATGTTTGGGGTGTGCCCCTTTTGTCTTTACTAAGTATTTTATAAAGTCCAAACTCCATTCATAGGTGTATATGAGATGATAGGGCTGAGGGGAATATCCCAAAGGGCAGCACCTGGTGTTATGAACGCACCCTACTCCAAGAGTGTGCGTGACATAGTTGTGGTGGTGAAAGGGTTAAAGTTCACTATTTGTCTGCACTAGACTGAAAATAATGACAAAATCCCCCTTAAAACCACCCACACGTAAACATGATAATATAACTATTACTATGTTAACACTGCCACCACCAAGACAATTTATAAATAGGGTGCCTTGGTCCCCCAGGTAAATCAATAATAAAAACCCACCAAATATTACTTAGCACAATATCTATGTAATTGCAAAATACTAATTAGTCTCTTCAGCGTGACTCTTAACCAAAGGCAGAACTTAATAAATGAATGTTTATTATGAGCAAAAATAGTCACAGTGCATACAAAAATATACAATAAACATGGGGGCGGAGCCAACGCATGAACCTGAACAGATGCCATTCCTGAAAGCGCCTCACAGGCCCTGTCACAATGGCCTTATATCATCGCCCCGAAACGCCATCTAGCCTTGCCACCCCAAGAATTGGCACCGGGAAGCCTACCCGCACAGCAAGATGCCTTTCCAGTATGCTCAGCGACAAAATAAGCAGAGGCATAAAACTGCGGCCTACCAGCCACCGACACCGCGAGGCCTGGAAACGTTCCTCGATCACTTCTTCGAGGCACACAGCCCAAGCAAGCCAGAACAGCCTGAACCTACCTCACTATCAGACTCCTCGAGCATGAGACTCCGGACACAAAAGCCTGACAGAGACATAGGGGCCATGCTCCAGATGCCCACACCAACTAAAACAACACAAATGGAGACCTCACACACGGAAGGGGCACCAACACTACAGTGAGCAAACGGGGAACAAGAAGCAAAGAGATTAAGTAATAATTTTTGATTCCCAATCGGAAACCCCAGAAATATCCAGACATTGTTGAAGTGCTAAGGGCTCTAAAGCCGATATGAATAGTGTGGCTGAGATAGGACATCTCTACCTGTTTCCGTTAATAAACCTGTAAAACCTGAATAGTATATCTGGATGGAGGGCTGGGAGTATAGTAGAGGGGAATCATAGTGCCTCCAAGGCCATCTTCATGTACTGCCAGTGTAGCTGGTCAAAGTATTTTTCATGAGCAGACTGGTTATGCTAGATGTGTGGAATATATGGAGTAAGTGAACTAATTTTCTGAAGTTATCAGAACCTTGTATCATTCTTACAAATCCTGTTTGACCCGAGTGAATGATGTCCACTAGTCTATTTGCCAAAAGTTTTACATATATTTTTGCATTGCAATTTAAAAGTGGGATTTGTCAGAAATCGTGGCAATGGTACTGAGTTTTGCCAGGGTTATGAAGAGTTATATCAACTTTTCAAATGGCAGTGCTCCAGACTCTTCCCCCTTGTTAAACACTCTCTCCGAGTAAGGGCCCAGTGTGCTGGTAAATTGTGTATAGTAGGCTCCAGAGAAACTGTTGATTTATTATTATTATTGCCATTTATATAGCGCTAACAGATTCCGTAGTGCTTTACAATATTATGAGAGGGGGGATGTAACTATAAATAGGACAGTTACAAGAAAATTTACAGGAACAATAGGTTGAAGAGGACCCTGCTCAAATGAGCTTACAGTCTATAGGAGGTGGGGTATAAGACACGTTAGGACAGGAAATATCAATCAAATAGGGTAGGAGTGAAGCAAAGCTGGAGGACAGAGTAAAGCACTGCCCTATAGGAGAGAGCAAGAGACAGGTATGTAAGGTAGAGGTTACTCTGGGAGGCCATAAGCTTTCCTAAAGAGATGGGTTTTAAGGCACTTCTTAAAGGATTGAAGACTAGGGGAGAGTCTGATGGGGGTAGACAGGCTATTCCATAGGAAAGGAGCCATCCGCGAGAAGTTCTGCAAGTGCGAGTTGGCCGTATGGGTGCGAGCAGCGGCCAGGAGGTGGTCACGGGTAAAGCAGAGGGAACAAGGAGGGGCATACCTTTGGATCTGTGAAGAGATAAAAGAGGGGCTAGAATTGTTCAGTGCTTTAAATGTATGGGTTAGCACTTTGAATTGACTCCTATAGGATACAGGGAGCCAATGTAAGGACTGGCAGAGGGGTGAGGTATGAGAGGACCGACTAGAGAGGAAAATAAGTCTGGCGGCAGCATTCATTACAGACTGTAGCGGGACAATACGGCTTTTGGGGAGACCAATCAGGAGAGGGTTACAATAATCCATGTAGGAAATTACTAGAGCATGGACAAGCTCCTTGCGTAAGAAAGGGGCGGATGCGGGCTATGTTTTTAAGTTGGTATCTACAGGATTTGGCAACAAACTGGATGTGAGGCTCAAATGTAAGGCCAGAGTCAAGTATGATGCCAAGACAGCGTGCTTGCAAGGATGGGCTTATGTGGATATCACTGACTTGAAGGGAGAGCAAGGATCAGTTTTAGAGAGATTGAGTTTCAGAAAGCGCGAGGACATCCAGTCAGAGATGGAAGAAAGGCAAGCAGTGACACATTGCAAGACAGCAGGGGAGAGGTCCGGGTAAGAGAGGTATATCTGAGTGTCATGAGCATACAGGTGGTAGGGGAATCCAAAAGAGGCAATACGTTTGCCAAGAGAGGCAGTATAAAGAGAAAATAGAAGGGGACCAAGGACTTAGCCTTGGGAAACTCCATCCGAGACAGGACAAGGTTAGGAGGTATCCTTGGAAGAGGAGACACTGAATGAGCATTGGCAGAGATAAGAGGAAAACCATGAGAGGACAGAGTCACAGAGACCAAGTGATTCAAGAGTTTGAAGGAGGAGAGCATGATCATTGGTGTCAAAGGCAGCAGAGAGGTTAAGGAAAGTTAGTATGGAGTAGTGACCTTTGGATTTAGCTGCAATTAGGTCATTAGTAAGTTTGATAAGAGCAGTCTCAGTAGAGTGGAGAGGGCACTGGAGAGTGTGCTGGTTTAATGAAATGATTGTATCTAACACCTCCTGTAATGTAATAGATGCCATAAGGGCTTGTAGGTGTTACTGTGTTAGGTGTTTACTGGAATGCCTGTGCGGTTTGAAATACGTGGGCCATACCAAACATAATTTACATACAAGGGTGGAAGAACATATAAGAAACACCAAAAAAAGGATGTTTTTAAAGAGGTGTCAAACCACTTTAAAAATATACACAACAGCAACCCCAAGGGACTACAATTTTTAGGTATCCATAAAGTTTTGGGAAACTGGCGAGGATGAGATTTTAATAAAATCCTAGGCCAGAACGAAATGAGATGGATATTCAACCTTGGGACTTTACAGCCCCAAGGTTTGAATATTGATATTGAGTTGTGCAATTTCCTCTAAAACTCCCTTTAATTTAATTCCTTCTTCTAAAACAATTCCCTCTTGAATTATTTAAATTTTAATATAAGTATTAGTTTCATGTAATACATACCAAATATTATTACTTTTTTACAGTGTTTCCTATACAAAGTTTTTAAGATGTCTTTTTACAATTTTGGTATTATATACAAAAATCTTAAAATCTTAATCTCTCATCTTCAATTATTATTATTATTATTATTTTACATTTTTATCCTATTTTTTTTTTACTGGTGTTCCTATATCTCTCTCTCCTAAAATGTATTTTTTGTGATTATGGTTTAAATAAAATATCAACCTATATTATAAATACTTATTTTATTATATTCAAGTGTATATTCTATATATTTAATGTTTTTTTCCCTTTGTTCCCTTTTTTCCTATAAATTGCTGAAGCCTTAAAGAATCTTCGTTGGGGTGGTGCCATCCCCAGCAAATTGGCACTCTGCCTATTACCCTTAGAGCCAAGAATTGAAGACTCTAAAAATGGTGAGCTTAATACGTACCATATGGCTTTTAAGTATATAAGTCTATAATACCACCCATTGGTCGCTTCTCTTCTTATATCCCCTTTGGAGGAGATGTCACAGTGCAAGTGGTGTGTTGCTGCCCTAAGAGCAAAGAGGTTTATTTTACGGAGCCAGTATCTTATAGGCTCCGGAACATGTCAGTGGTTCAAGCTTTTTCTACACAATTGATTGCAATTTTTAGACTACCTACACTATTTTTTGGGGGGTAAGTTAAAGGAACCCCTGCACAAGTCAGATTTGTATAGCCCTCCACTAAAAGGTATTTTTATACCATAATTTGGCTGTTTTAATTTACTGTGGATTAAAGGGTATTCCACATTAGGTGCTGAGCTGCTTATCACTAAGGCACATTATTGGATCACATACTACCCCCCAGTAGGGGTAGATCTTAATTAAGGAACCTTGCAATCTCCGAAGGGAATGAACGATACGTGCCCTCCTCCTCTCACATATTATATAGCTTGGAATAGAATGTTGCAAAAGCAGAAGCAATAGTAGCATGGTTAAAAAAAATGTCCTATATTGTCTAGTATGTAGGCAATCTTAGATTAACTTTGTTTACTTTACGCTGCCTATCTAGAAATGCTCCCGCCCAGTTACTTTGGGTAAAGACGAGGATCTGAGGATGTAACCCATCAGTTGGGCATAGTGAAAACACTGTTTTAGATTATTCAAATGAGTTAACTGAGCTTGTAGGATAATTTTTTTTTTTTTTTTTTTTTTATATAGGAGATGTCTTTGACAAACACTAACCTAAAAACTTCCTTGTGAGCAAGCCAGATTTAATTGATATGTATACTCGGGGAGTCAATTAACCAACACATTCTGTACATTCTCCACCACTTTGGAGTTTGTCAGCAACAATTAATTGAGCCTTTAAGTTCCTGTACCTTTAGAAGAAAAGCTCTGTTATTTTTAGTAATATAGGTGCATCACCAGACCAGGTAAGGAAGCCGTTACAGAAAGTATGGACTTCTGCATAGGATCACAGAGTCATAGAGAGAATCCATTTGGAAGTAATACCCCCTATAATAAGCTCTTCATGTGCTCATCAACATGCTTATTTAAGCCCCTTTGTGATCATGCCCTGCTTGATATGCTTAATATGCTGGCTTTAGGTACCCAACTTTCTTTAAGCCTCTACTATATAGCTTTGCTATTCCCTTTGTATATAGTTATCCCTTTAAGTTGCCCAGCCTGCGGCTCCTCATGGCTCTGACTATCACACCAACCCCCCTATCTTCGGTACTACACTTTTTGCAGACCAGCAATATGTCCGTCTTCTCCAATTTCTGCACAGATATGTGCATCCTCCAACAATGCACGGATCTCCGTGCTCTCATGTTGCCATTTATGCACGGCACGCACAGAGACATAGTATCCTATCTATCTGTCCGATAGTCAAATGCTCCTTCCTTATTTCTACTCGAGAGCTGCAGTTTTTTATTTTATGACACCCCTGGTGTTTTTCCACCAGACACTGCTGCTGGGGATCTCTAACTATGAGTGGCCAATTAATTATTCTCACAGCCTAACCCGATCCTCAGTATTATCATAAGCCGCACGGGTATGATCGGCTGCCTGCTATGCCCGTAAACCATGCCCCCATGCGTTCCAACTGGTTACTAAGACAACCAGTGGAACACAAACAGCTCATTCCAGCACACTTCTGCACCATCGGTTTTAGAAATACCGGGTCAAATTTGCCCGCAATTTTTTCATCTCAGCTGGCTGCATGACAGGGGTTAATTGTAAGTACAGGCTGTATACAATGTATTCATTACTGTTTCATGCTATTTAAACAGTGTTTGTTGCATTGCACTGCATCCTGATGAAAGTTCCATTAGAGAACTGAAACGTTGATTCACCATGGCAGATGCCTGAATAAAAGATAAGTTTTTTTTCACCTTACTTTTAAGACTCTGGAGTGCTATCTTTACATCTATTCTCTCTCTCTCTCTCCCTCTCTCTCTCTCTCTCTCTCTCTACCATCAGCAGGGGGACTGTCTGACAGTCCATACACTCCCCCTGCTGGCAGATCCACTGCCAGCTATGCGTTCTATGCCACCGCAACGGCTTTAACTCCTTAAGGACACATGACATGTGTGACATGTCATGATTCCCTTTTATTCCAGAAGTTTGGTCCTTAAGGGGTTAAAGCCCATTATAATGGGGACGGCATAGAACACCGTAACTGCATTAAGGGGTTAATATATAAATAACTGTCTTTCTCTACTCTTTAGGGCCAATTTTACATCCCTGCAACGTGCCCATTTAATTTTACTCAACCCACCCACCCTGGTTCCTTCTACCTATATAGCATGCTCTTCCAGCTGTTTGGAACCACAGCCAATCACCTCCTTATTACCTTCACATGATATCAGCTGCTGCAGTTATACTATTAACTCTCTCTTCCATCACATACAAATTTCTCTGCTACCTTTTGTCTCATTTCCACAGTTTTACCTTTAGATTGTAAGCTCACAGACAGGACCCGCTACCCATTGTATAGGTCTGTTTTTCCCAATTGTACAGCGCTGCAGAATATGTTGACGCTTAATAAATACCTGTAATAAAGAAATAAATAAAAAGATATGACCAGTGCAACATATAACATCCATCGCACTTTAAAAGCCATACCAAACTGTCATGATTTTAAACTGTATGTTAACAACATTATACATCATTAAGAACTCAAAAGGTTAACTTAACTCCAAGTAAGTTACCTTGAGCTCCATTTTTGACTTTTTTTATCTCCTAGTTCCTGAATAATGGACATTGATTTACAGATTATTTGCTATGGTGTTATTTTACCTGGCTTCTGATTTGACTTTTACTTAACACAGATTTATGTTACACAACTTTGACTTATCTTCCTGACTTCCAACCTGGCCATTGACTAACAAACATTGATTTTTGGATTATCCATTAAACTGTTCACTTACCCAGCTTCACATTCACCTGCTACACCTCTTTAGATTACTTTATTTTAGTTTCTGACATGAATGCTGATTAGTAAACCTTGTTTTTGGATCTCCCTTCTATACAGGGAGTGCAGAATTATTAGGCAAATGAGTATTTTGACCACATCATCCTCTTTATGCATGTTGTCTTACTCCAAGCTGTATAGGCTCGAAAGCCTACTACAAATTAAGCATATTAGGTGATGTGCATCTCTGTAATGAGAAGGGGTGTGGTCTAATGACATCAACACCCTATATCAGGTGTGTATAATTATTAGGCAACTTCCTTTCCTTTGGCAAAATGGGTCAAAAGAAGGACTTGACAGGCTCAGAAAAGTCAAAAATAGTGAGATATCTTGCAGAGGGATGCAGCACTCTTAAAAAAGCAAAGCTTCTGCAGCGTGATCATCGAACAATCAAGCGTTTCATTCAAAATAGTCAACAGGGTCGCAAGAAGCGTGTGGAAAAACCAAGGCGCAAAATAACTGCCCATGAACTGAGAAAAGTCAAGCGTGCAGCTGCCACGATGCCACTTGCCACCAATTTGGCCATATTTCAGAGCTGCAACATCACTGGAGTGCCCAAAAGCACAAGGTGTGCAATACTCAGAGACATGGCCAAGGTAAGAAAGGCTGAAAGACGACCACCACCGAACAAGACACACAAGCTGAAACGTCAAGACTGGGCCAAGAAATATCTCAAGACTGATTTTTCTAAGGTTTTATGGACTGATGAAATGAGAGTGAGTCTTGATGGGCCAGATGGATGGGCCCGTGGCTGGATTGGTAAAGGGCAGAGAGCTCCAGTCCGACTCAGACGCCAGCAAGGTGGAGGTGGAGTACTGGTTTGGGCTGGTATCATCAAAGATGAGCTTGTGGGGCCTTTTCGGTTGAGGATGGAGTCAAGCTCAACTCCCAGTCCTACTGCCAGTTCCTGGAAGACACCTTCTTCAAGCAGTGGTACAGGAAGAAGTCTGCATCCTTCAAGAAAAACATGATTTTCATGCAGGACAATGCTCCATCACACGCGTCCAAGTACTCCACAGCGTGGTTGGCAAGAAAGGGTATAAAAGAAGAAAATCTAATGACATGGCCTCCTTGTTCACTTGATCTGAACCCCATTGAGAACCTGTGGTCCATCATCAAATGTGAGATTTACAAGGAGGGAAAACAGTACACCTCTCTGAACAGTGTCTGGGAGGCTGTGGTTGCTGCTGCACGCAATGTTGATGGTAAACAGATCAAAACACTGACAGAATCCATGGATGGCAGGCTTTTGAGTGTCCTTGCAAAGAAAGGTGGCTATATTGGTCACTGATTTGTTTTGTTTTGTTTTTGAATGTCAGAAATGTATATTTGTGAATGTTGAGATGTTATATTGGTTTCACTGGTAATAATAAATTGAAATGGGTATATATTTGTTTTTTGTTAAGTTGCCTAATAATTATGCACAGTAATAGTCACCTGCACACACAGATATCCCCCTAACATAGCTATAACTAAAACAAACTAAAAACTACTTCCAAAAATATTCAGCTTTGATATTAATGAGTTTTTTGGGTTCATTGAGAACATGGTTGTTGTTCAATAATAAAATTAATCCTCAAAAATACAACTTGCCTAATAATTCTGCACTCCCTGTACATTTCACTTGATTTATGCTTTTTAGAGTCATCTTTGAAAAAGATAAATACATCTAATAGCCTGTTAGAACAATAGGTTTATAGTTCACATTCTCATTATGTTATTATTTATATAGCGCCAACAAATTCTGCAGCGCTTTACAGTGGGTGGACGAACAAACATGTAGTTGTAACCAGACAAGCTAGACACACAGGAACAGAGGGGTTGAGGGCCCTGCTCAATGAGCTTAGATGATATAGGGATTGGGGTAAAGTGACACAAAAAGTAAGCATAGTATTAGACTAATGACAGTTGCAAGAGAGGAATCAGCCGGGAGCTATTAACAGTTTAATTGAGGATTTTTTGAAGGAGTGGAGACTGGGTGAACTTCTAACGGAGGAGGGAAGGGAGTTCCACAGGAACGGTGCAGCCCTCGAGAAGTCTTGAAGGTGAGCATCAGAGGTGGGAGTACGGACAGAAGATAGACGTAAGTCTTCAGTAGAGTGTAAGGGCCTAGACTGGACATACTTGTGTATTAGGGAGGATAGATAGGTGGGAGCAGTATTATGTAGAGATTTGAAATCAAGAACCAGAATTTTAAATTGAGCCCTATATTTAACAGGAAGCCAATGTATGGACTGACAGAAGGGTGAGGGAGGTGTGGGCAGACAGGAAGTTGAGCCTCGCCGCCACATTCATTATGGACTGTAATGGCGCAAGTTGGAAGCACGTAACACCACTGAGAAGCGGATTACAGTAGACAAGGCAAGAAAGGACAGTGGAATGGACCAGCACCTTAGTCGGGTCGGATGCGGGCAATATTTTTGAGATGGAAGCAACAGGATTTGGCGATTGACTGAACCTGAGGCATGAAGGAGAGGTCGAAGTCAAAGAGAACACCTAGGTAGCGAGCCTGCGAGGTAGAGCTGATGGTAGCACTGTTGACTTGGAAGGAGACAGACACAGGAGTAGCAACACTTGAGGGAGGAAAGACCAGAATTTCAGTTTTGGTCAAGCTGAGTTTAAGGAAGTGGGCAGCCATCCAGTTAGAAATAGCAGAGAGGCAGGCAGAGACACTAGTCAAGAGGGACAGGATAGAGATCAGGAGAGGACAGATAGGTTTGGTGTCATCTGCATAGAAATGATATTGGAAGCCAAAGGAGCTAATAAGTTTACCAAGGGAGGCAGTATAGATGGAGAACAGTAGGGGACCAAGGACTGAGCCTTGGGGGACACCAACAGAAAGGAGTTGGGGAGAAGAAGCAGAGCCAGAGAAAGAAACACTGAAAGAGCGCTGGGAGAGATAGGAGGAGCACCAGGAGGGAGCAATATCTTGTAGACCGATATTGCAGAGGATGAGAAGAAGCAGTGTCAAAAGCTGCAGAAAGGTCAAGGAGAATTAGGATAGAGTAGTGACCACGAGATTTGCAGTGGGTAGATCATTGGATACTTTGGTCAGTGCCATTTCCACAGATTGCTTAGCTTAGAAACCAGACTGAAATCTCTTCATATTCTCCTTAAAGGTACAGAATTATAAGGCTCTTCCATTTTCAAATCTCCTACAAGCTCTCTGTTACCAGTCATATTTTTATTAAACCCATGCGGAGTAGAAAGTCACCCCTGTTGATCACGCTATGGCTTGCAATGGCAAGTAACTTTTAAGGTCTGGCTAGTAGTGGTGGACTTGAAATTTTAAGCTAGGTATATTTATATCTAGTGTTAGTTCCTAAACTAAAAAGATAAATAAGGATATTAAACTCAACTAAATAATTTATCCCACTTCAAAAAGTTTGCCTTTTATATTGCATATTTTAGTGCATCCATGTTATTATTTTGTTCTTGGAACTCATCAGCAACAACCATAAAGATAAACTCTTGGAGAGAATGAGGGCAAGACTATAAATGAGAACAAATCATAAAATTGTATTAACATTGCAGTACTTTAGTACAATTCAGTATATTCTTTTGCAGCAACTAAAGAGTGTGTAATACAGAAACAAAATGCATTTGAGAGAGTGAAGATCAAAAAATAATATTAATGAAATTAGAATTTCAATTTGTCCAAACTTATGGTGATAGGTGACTCATGCAAAAATCCAAATTTGGAGCCACCATATAACTGTACCAAAATGCAAATGAAATGGCCAGTGGATGAGACGTTTTGTTTGTTTCATGACTCAGCACTAGCATCTAGAGAAGTGGTTCCCAACCCAGTCCTCAACTAACCCCTAACAGTCCAGGATTTAGGGATTACCCAGTTGTGTCTAAGGTGTTTTTAGAAAGAAAAAACCCCAAACACTTTAGACACAACAGGATACTCTCTAAATTCTGGGTCGTTAGGGGGTTCTTCAGGACTGGGTTGGGAAACCCTGTTCTAGAAGACAATTAGTTAGAAACAGCCTGTTGAGGTCACTATGACCCCAAAATTAGTGCAAGCAAGTTGTATACCTCTCCCATACCTCCAATTGTCATGCTGCAAGTGGAAGCATGTCTGTTAAACACCAAGCATTTTGTGGCTTCTCACTGTAATAAAAGACTAGTAACTGGGGCCACCTGGGAATTATTGGGGACTCCAATTAACCTACTCGCCCCACAGTAGGTCTGTCAATTGAAAACTAAAGTGGGGGTACATCTCTGTCCATGAGGTGGGATCTGTAATTACAATGAACAGGGGGGTCTTAGGAGGTAAGGGCTCTAATTAATACAATGGAGGGGGTGGAGGGGGGGGGGGAGGTAAATGCTCACAGTCTCCACCCATGGACTGAGGGTGGGGGCTCTAATACTGATAAACAGGGAGACCTGTTATCCCACCCAGGCCTTACTCATGTATGGTAAATTAGGGCTCAAATTAAATATATCAGTGGATGAACATGTTTTTTTCCACATTCTCAAAAGATTATTTCCACTCCAATGGGTGGCTAGCAGACTCCAAGCTCCTAGCCAAGCCACCCTAATAACAGTGAGGAGGGGCCAAATAATCTAAAATAGTAAACCAAAACATGTAAAAACATCTTATTATATTGCAGTCTGTATTAGACTTATTGCCTCCCCCTTCACATTTATAAGGTTTTCTCTTCATCAGGGGTTTGCCATAATTTAAGGGGTGGACAATGAGATGTAATTCATTTTCCTAAACATGTAATTATCCTTTCAACTGAAATATCTATCAGCCAATCATGTTATTATCATTAAAAAAAGTTCATACAAATCAAAGCGCCTCATTGACCCATTATGTTTCGATGTATTGTTTTATGGTTAATATATAATGGCATTATAGCTAAACATTATAAGCTCATCAGCCACATATTTTATACAAGGCTGGCTAGGTATATGATATTATTTTCAGTAAATACTTAACAGATCATTTAAAAAAATTGGCCTCCCTAATGAAGAGAATAACCTGTTTAGCACAGTGCAAGCAAATTGAATGACACTCTTGCTCTGTGTTTGCTGGTTACTTGTCTCTTGTGTGGAACACCAGAATACATAAGAGAGACAGCCTGGAAGAATCAGGACTAAACCATGTCAAAATGCAGAATAGATCACAACCACAAGGAATGCGGTATTGGGATCATCAAGCAACAATAACAGGGCTCAAAGGGTTTATTGATTGGTACCATGATTGCTTCTAATGTCATAATGTGCACCTTCCTTCTTGCCAGAATGAGGCACACTGTTCTGCATTTTCATTTTCACAGAGGTTATATAAACAATTAAATGATGCAGGTTTAGAGCATCCAGTGTCAACATTTATACTAAAATGGAATGCGGCAGACAAGTGTCTGCCTGCACTAGAATGATGCGAATTTAAGAAAGTACAGTTATATGTCACAGGTAACCTTACACCTGCCCCTGACTAAAACCCCACTCACACTCCTAAAATGATAGTGTCCCTCTATCTCCATTTGCAGTGT